CACTTGCAAAGGAATTTAAAACGGGCATCTAGAACGGCGGGGGCGGGATCATGCGGGCGATCGCCCGCCTCCACAATGTCACAATGCCAGCAGCATGGGCCTGCGCCATGTCCGGGAGAAGGTCCATTGGATCATACTCAGCACCCACCTCTGCCAGGCGAACAAGATCACGAGTTGCAGAGATGACCCTGTACTGGAAACAAGTGCTTGCTGTTGCACTGATGAGGTCGTTGCTTAGAAAGGCTGCATGGGGGCAACGTCTGCCATTGCATGCCCTCTACGTCGCGGTCTGCAGCAAGCGCAAGAAGGTCTGCGCATCTCGGCCTCTCGTCAAATGATTCAAACGCAGCTTTTGTGGCAAACACCGATCTTGAGGAGGGGGTGGCAAAGCGGCTGCAGCGGTGTCCACTGCCGGGGCTGCGGGCGCTGCTTTTGCTTCCAGCGGCGCAGTTCTAATCCAGTCAATGGCTCTGCTGCCTTCTCTTTGTTTCTTGGTTGTCGCACGGCTTCCTGGGCAATCTCTTGGGCCACTTTTCACCCACTGGCAATCTTTTCAGCGCCATGGCACATGCATCATGATTTTCGGAACTTGTCGCATCACAGCCACCAGCACGCCAACAAAGTCAGTGCTGACATCCCTGAACACCTTGTGTTTTGTTGCCATGCTGCGAGCACTTGCTTGCTTTGGGTTGGTACCAACAAAAAGCATGGGGTAGTGTCTGCTGTGCCGCCTGCATGGTAGCCTCTGCTGCGCCGGCCTTCCAGGTTTAGCTTGACCGGGACAAGTTTACAGGCAAGTCACTCATATATGCCCCAAACCGAAGGGACCAACGCAGTTGCTCATAACAGGGCGGGGCTGCCCAATCCCCCCTTAAACTTCAGCACCTTAATCTTGCTGGTTTGCCATGTCTCGACTGATTATTACACACTTTGCAGCAAGATGCCTCGTGCCAACACATGGGGAAACAGTGAAGCTGTTTGGCGGTAATGGGGCCTGCGCCTTGCAGAACGCCAGCACGCTGGAACGTCTTGGTCCCGCACTAGTTCCCAAATCACGGGCCCCAACTGTCCGAAAAGTGCCCCAATTCAACACTCTGCGCCCAAGCAAACCAGTAACAAACACAACTTCCGATGGATTGGCAGCCGGCAACTCCACCTTCACAGTGTTGTGAAAATGGTGAACGGTCCCCAGATGCGTATACCCCAAACCAACAGCGCAATGACAACTGTTTTCGACATTTGTGCCATCGCAAAGCTTTGTCGCAACTGCGTGCAAAGGTCTTAACATCTTTCACGGCGCATTGACACCTCGCCTCAAGGTCATCACCATGGCTGCGCTGCGAACTGATTCTTTCCGCCAAGGCCTAGACCCACTCCCGTGTAGACTGGGAGACGCGCAGCTCCTTTACTTGCATTCTCGATCTTCCGTTTGTGTTGAGAATTGCGCAAAACAAAACGTTCGCTGGGCTTTTTGAGCGAAGGATCCGCGAAAGACTAGCGAAATCCCGTGGAGCTTGTGGCAAGGCTCCACACATCCGACTGGTTTAACTTAACTGCGCTGCAAGGTTTTTGCAGCGCAAGTCCAGAGCGCACGCTGCAGACAAAAAACTGCGGCAATGGAGCTACTTACCCGGAACCGGGAAGACTAATCAACTGCCGAAGACAGCCCGGATTACACTTTGTCGCGGAGTTGCGAGTTTCGAGCGAGATGTACGGGAGCTGCTGCGCAAGCTCTCTACACAAGCTCTCGAGGCAAGCTCTATACGCAAAGCCTTCTACGCAAGCTCTAACGGAAGCTCCCAACGCAAGCTCTCCCTGCACAATCTTTCTGCGCAAGCCCTCTACGCAAGCTCTGCGCATGCCTTCTTTGCAGACTCTCCATGCAGGCTCTGGATCATGCGCTGCGCTGCCAGGGGTCGCACTACCAGGGCAGTCGTGCAAAGAAGGTCGCAGAGCTGCCGGTGAATCTGAGAGTCTCGTGGGCGGATTGCCTGTCGCTTGCCCCAAAGAACTACCGTGGAGGATCATCCGTTGGGTTTATTGCATAATCTTGAATGGATCCTTTGGCTAGAAGAACTTGAGTAAAGAACTAGCATGGAAAACGCACCTAGGGTGACTCAAAAACCCGAGAGTGAAACACCAAGACAGGTGCACCAAGCACGCAAAGCCGTTGCGCAGAGAGTTTGCATGGAAGCTTACGCATGGGGAGCTCCGTGCAGACAACTTGTGCTCCGCGCAAGCATGTATGGAGCTTGCGAAGCGGGTTGCATTTTAAGCCTTCTCCGGATGAGCCTCATGTGTGTCTGAGTCAGCGGGCTCAGGTAAAGATGGAAAGCAACGCGTACGCGCAGGAGAGTCCAAGTGCCTGTTCGCATTGACAGGCGTTCACGGCGTGCCACCGGTCTTAGCCTTGTGAAGATTGGGCGCGAGCGCACGCGGTATTGAGGCCGTATCTTGACGAGTTGCAAGCCACTTGCGGGCGGGATTCAGCCTGGTGGAGTCGGCGCCGTCCTTCCACACCACAGACAAGTACCGGCGAGACGCTCCAGGCCTTTCCAGATTGTACCGACAAGTGTGGCAGGGGCTTCGGGTTGGTGCTGCAGCAGGCACGGCCAAGGCGACAGCCTTAACCGCCAAGCTGTTGCCGTGGCAAAACAAGTACGCCACTATAGCGGGAGATCCGGAGCATGACGTCATAGCGTTCAGAAAAACAGTCTCGAGACCATGCCTCTTTTGATTTGCTGCTGTAGCGGACCACGGGGACCTCCTACGTCGCCTTTCGGGGGCGCTTCCCAGCCCGTCGGAAAGCGCGGGTCCCACCGCAGCAGCATTGTCCACTGACGCTCAAGCCGTGCTGTCCGCTGCTTTTGCGGCCCGGAAGCACTGGGTGCTTGTTAAGAATTACCAAACACATGTTCCAGCACTTGTGGGCAGAAGTGAGATGTGGCGCTTTTGTTGGTGTCCTCTTGTGTTTGCGCAAGTGTGTGGCTACCAAGTTCCCGCCGTGAGACCACATGTTCATGTGTTGTCCCTGTGATCACCGCTCTTGGGTCTTGACTTCCTGAACGGGTGTCCCCAATCCGTTTTTCTTCTTGCACACGAAATTCGTTCATGAGACAGCCTCATGTTGGTTCCCATTTCCCTGGCCTTCAAGATAATGTGGAATGCTGCCTTTCGATGCGGTGTCCACGCGTGTCGCCGGATTACCACGCACGCTTCCTCAAATTTTCTCGCTCAGGTAAACACAGCCCACGAGTACCAGAAAGGAAGTGACAGCAAACCAAGAGGCAGGACATGAGCTGCTTCGCTTTCTGGAGTCGTCAGCAATGGCGCAAGCTGAAGAGTGGAAGCGCGCCTTCACAACAACGCCGCCTCGCGCGGTGGTTGCGCGCGCACTACCGCACGGCCAAGGCATTGGACGTGCAGGACGCCGAGTTGCACGAGTCGCTGAATTATCGAAATTGTGTGACGCTTGGCGCGCATTGACCCTCGTGTCAATGAATCAGGATTGTCCCTTGAACAGAACCTGCTCCCGCTTCACGCGTCTCTGAAGGCCTCTGTTTGGGTGAAGCTACCATTCGTGTCCTCTTCTGCGTAGATGGAAGGATAGGTTTACAGAAAGGTGAAGGCGTAGACATACTTGCAGAGAGATGCGCGAACACAATCGACCAGATTTGGGTAGATAGAGAGACAGCTGATACAAAGGTTGGGAGGTAGATACCGGGGTAAATTGGCAGGCGGAGAGACAGATGAACGGAAACTGGGATCCTAAGTAGATACGTGAGTCGAAAGATACATTGCTGAGTAGGAAGCTCAACGCTTGGATGCACAGATATACAGATATAGAAGGGTTGTTTTCTGACCAACTGAGGACAGTGAAGCAGTTTCGACGGTTCCGCCGCTGGTACAGTCAGCAAGGGGCGTAAAGCGACAAAAAGTCTGGAACAAGAAAACCAAGCACCACTACAAAAAGCTCCACAAGGGGATCCGCGTTCTTGGATTCAAGGCAGAGTCGTAGCATCAGCCTGCGCCTAGCCTGCGCCTAGCAGCTTCGAAGCTGTCGTGCCAGACGGGCACAGTGCCGACAGAGCGCTGTTGGAGTGGCCTGCTGGCTTATTTCCCGAAAGAAATTCGTCGCATGTCGGTCTCCCACTTCACGATCCTCAACTACATGGCCTTCTTGAGATTCAATGTGAGACATCTGGCCAAACGTGCCGCTCCAAATTGGGCCGATGGAGACGTACTCCTTGCAGAGAAGTTCGAAAACTTCAAAGATGCCTTCCCTCGCGACAGCAATGGGGACTCCGTCCTTCCACCGCATCTCGTGCGCGACCTCCTGCAAATGTACCCAGACCCGACCAGTGTCAGGGCGCAAGCTGCAGCCAGCTAGTGGCCTCAGCCAGTGCCGAAGTCGTGCTTCTACTAATTACTGATTGAAAGTTGTGAGCGTTGTGCTTGCAAACCTTCGCTTGCACAGCTGATTGGGGATGCGATGTCTTAGGATACAAAGTTGGGTTTGGAGAGCACCTAGTTTCAATCCGTTTGGCAGTTTCGCAGATTCAGCGGCGCGCATGGAAGCAAAGCTCCGCTATCCATTTTTTGCAGCCTTGGGGAGCTGGGGTTCGCAGTGACTGTTAAAAAATCCGTTTGGTTTGATGTTGGTGCTTTTTGAGCTGACATTTTCTTCACAATGCGTGACCAGAATGTAAGAAGAACCGGACTTCAATGCGCCGCGCCGTTGCGAAGCCCATCTCTTTCTTCATTTCGTGTTGTGCGAGACTCAATCTAAACATGGTGCGGCGAGTGGGCGGTGACATTTTATGCATGGCATCTGCCGAACCAACACCAAGTTGACCCCAATTTTTTCAGCACCTCTGCCTTCATTGCATCAAATAATCGGAATTTGCTTTTCATTTTGTTTCAATGTTGTTTCGGTCAACACACATATGTGCATTTCAATCTCGAGTGCCCATCAAAATTATCCCTTGTGTTTCATTGCCCTACTGATAGATGATACGTGTCCATTTCACCTCCACCCGTTTCCAAGCACGTTTGGCCGCTACGCGGCCGTCGCCAGTCCCTCCCAGGAATTCAGACCTCCTCGAGATGAAGCTGAGAGACCAGACTTTTCACTTGCCGAACGCAGCTGGCAAAAGAGCTGTTTTGATGGTCGCAGTTTACTCAAGTCCATCTACAATGAAAGCTGACAATAGGATCAAAAGCTGCAAGGTAAGACCACGCAATAGATGACATGTTTCCAACAAGTCGAGGCATCCCATTCAGTCCCATTTGCATTATTGTTTGCGATTGCGATGAACAATGTGAACTTCTACGCTTAACTGCCCAGAAACGCTAAGCATTCACAGTGTCAGGTATGCCTGCAACATCGCTCCTCGTCACGGTCACGTTTCGTTTGTTAAGCATCAGTCTTCGTGCATTTTGAGTCGTTGCTGTTCTCGGGCATCATGGTGTCTTCGCGCAGCGTCACGCAGCGTCACGCATTGTCGCGCGGCGTCGCGCATCGTCACGCATCGTCACGCGGCGGCGGCCATATTTCGACCCCGCCTGTTGCCCACACTGACTGGCCCTTGTTGTGCCCCCTTGCACCTCATCAAGTAAAAAAGTCTTGCTGTACTCCCTTGCACCTCCCAACGATGTCAGAACATAAGCGACAACAACCTCTGCGCCGCCTTTGAGAGCCAGCCCGCCTTGGACATGTCTGCTTTGCTGCCATCTGGGATCACAAATTCCCCAGTGGAATCGCCAATGGCAGCCAACCGCTTCATGAAGGATTCATGGGACGCTTTCCTCAGACGGGTTCGACAGCACGCAGCAACGTGGTGCTGGAGTTTGCCTGCCCGGTGTCATAAGAAAGGGCTGTGCGCAGCATCTCTGAGAAGTCAGGCAATCAACTGAGACAAAAAGCCATCATTGAACACACAAACTCAATAAACGTGGGCACCCCCTGACCCTCCTTCCCGTTACAACACGTGATGTTGGCTCACTTGCGATATTGAGCTACTCCACGTAAGGATGTGTAAGGCCAAATCCGAAAAGCCCAAGCGTCATGCCCTTGATGGTCTCTTTTGCCCACTCCTCGCAGTCATACTGATGTTTCTTCTCGAAGTGCGCCAGCATTAGCCGCTTGCTGGAGCCCACGTGCTGGCCTGTGCTTTGCGTGACCACATACCAATCAAAGAGCCACCAGCTGCAAAAATGGTTCTCCCTCAACAGGTGTTGATTCCCGTGAACGGAAATGGTCAAGTTCCCCCTAGATAAATTACTGCCCCACCAAACTCAAAACGCAATGCCCGATCCATGTCTTCTAAATCAACGCGGCCCCTAAGGCGCTGGGAAGGAAGCTACAGCCATGGGGCAAAGCTTGCACCGCAGCTCGCCACTGGGCGCTACACTCCTTGGCTGTGAGGCCACTCTTCCATGATGACCATTCCGGGGAAGGGACAGGGCATATGTGAAAAAGGATGCGACTTTTTCCCATCAATGGAGGTTGATCTAAGGTGGGTGGTGATTTCACAAGGCGTACCCCCCCGCCCCGCCAGGAACTACCAACCCGGCATCTCGTAGCTTCTAGCTCCGGAGGTAGAAACATAGACGAAGCAGTCCCTTCTACTATCGCTCGTGTTGAGCCTGACTTGATTGTCTATTGATTACTAGAGCTTTCCCTTTGAAAGGGAACCCCCTGAACACTCACCGGGTGTTCATGTGTTTGCTGTTTTTTATTTACGCAACATTGGTAGCATTATGTGTCATAACTTTAATATGTGTTGTTGTTTCAATGCATCAGTTGCATTTGAAAAAAAAAGCCATGTATATATATATATATATATATGTATGTATGTATGTATGTATGTATGTATGTATGTATGTATGTATGTATGTATGTATGTATCTCACGTACTGTACATGAATTAGATGATGTATATTCTGTGTAGATGCTATTACGCATTAAATGTCACATATTTCAAAGTGTTAAAATGATGGAAAGAGATATTTCTGGGGTCAGATGTTCAACCAGCATGAATCCTAGAGAGGTTGGGCCGCAAGCTTGCCACCAAGGCGTCTCTTCCATAAACTGCAGCATCTTTTCCTCAATTGCAGCAACCCCTGCACCATCAGCAAAGGGCCAAAACACGTTTGGCGAACCAAAAGGACGGCACTGGGGACAACTCACAAGTAAAGAGTGTGATGAAGTCGCCTCATCGTTGCTCCAGGGACGGACCCATTGCATCATATCGTCCACAACGCCGCCATCCTCCATACGCATAGTCTGACTTCCATGTTCTGACTGGAAAAGGACACCTTCACACTCATACGTCATGTGGTTCAACAGCTTGGAAGGGACAATTGGTTTAAGCATGTCAGCTCATGTCCGAGGCGGGTCAGCCTGGTTGGCCATGAGCCAAATGCATTCCGACTCGTGCCTCCTGACTCTCCATAGCTCACGAAGCACACGCGTCGCGCTGGACACGGGGCTCTTCCTATCCACGGAAACTGTTCGGTCACCGGGCTTGCGAGACATGATCTTCCAGGAGTCTTCTTGAATCCGGAAGATCCCATAAATTACTTCGGTGGTGTGTCTTACCATGCTTTCGGGTGGAGGCCTTACCATGCTTTCATTGGTGTTTGGTGATCATGCACTGGGCAGCTGCGCTGCAATCCTTGAGCCGGAGCAGATTCCGAGCCGATGGCCACACCTACGCGCAGCAAATTTGAAAGTGGACCCTCCAGTCAACCCACACCAAACATCACATCACATCAAACCGAGCAGCAAGTTAAAGTCCCATCCCCCCCCCTCCCACCTACCCACCCGACCCCGCCAACCCCCAAACGACTTCCAAGTCCGGGCCGAACCCAAGGCCCCAAAGCGAGCTTCCAGCCTTGCTGAAGCCCGAAAGCTCCGCTGCCTTTCGGTTCCATTCCATAACCTCGGCATCCGGTCATATCGGCGGAACTCCTGGGCTTCCAAGGTGTGGGAGTACTCATGGATTAAATCCACAACCACCCCCAACAAAAGAAGAAAAGACCAGGCGGTCTCGTTCCCGTCGTTTCTCTTCAAACCTCTTCCCCCCCCCCCCCCGAACATGCCCCGCCAAAAACAAGAGCGGGGCTCAGCATACTGATGGACAGAATCCACTTCGCACCAAAAAGGACATGGCATCATTTTATCATGACAAGCAAATCCGACATGCGCCATGGGCAAACAGGGCCAACTTTGGGTTCCCACTCGCCATTTGGGCTTCAACACAGCCGTCCGGTTTGGCAATGCGTCGCAGGTAGTGACTTGCTGGCCTAGACATTGCAATTAAACGGAACGACCCCGAGACCCGCCCCACCAACGTGCCTGGCCACGCCCGCGCGCCGGGCCGCACGCGCGTCAGTCATTTTTGCAAGCTCGAGGCTCCCGGGTGAGACGTGCTGGAGCTCATGGCTTGGGCCTCGAGGCCCGCGAGTCCCAAAGGACGTCGAGTCTGTTCCCACACGTTCTTCCACGCCGTTGCCGAGACTAGAGCCCAACCCCATGGTAAGATCTTGGAACCCTAGAAGTGTTCTTTGAATGCCTCGCTCGAGCAAACATTTGCTCTCTTTGAAGGCAACGCTTTGGAGCTGAACTTGATACAAATGCAGATCAAACACCTGGCATCTCTGGCACTGGCTGACGGAACCATGGACAGATTGACCATGTAGTAGCGCCAACCGTAGCGCCAACCGTAGGCTCAACTACCTGTGCCGTTTCACTGGACACCTTGGGGACCAGGTTGCGGCCAGGCTTCCGGAGCTCAACAGCAGGTTGGATGGACCATCGCCGGGTTGTGGCGGCAAATGCAGCCCTGGGCAGTCTGTTGGAGGCTACCCGTCACCGACCTCACCCGGAACCGAAAAAAATCAAACATATCCGACCCAGACAAAGGAAACCGGCAAGCCCAACACCAACAGGATGTGCTGGAGAGAACGGGGAGCTAGCTAAGCTTTCGAGCGCCACACCCTGCTGCACATTGTCACATTGAACATCACATTGGTCAACAATGATTGTCTGCAGAAACGGATGGACGCGGGCGGCTGGGTCAAACATCCGTAGTCTTTTCAAAAGCCCAAAATTGCCAAAACGCCACCGGGGATGTGGGTCGTACAGTTGGAAACGAGCTGCTGCTCTTCCCGTACAATGAAGATGATGTTTATGATCAAATCAAGCATCGACGGGGCCCCACCAACGCCAAGTGCAAAGGACCTTGGCGTTTTTGGATAGCCCAAAGCAACGCCCTTGATCCCTCGGCAGGTTGTCCTTTTTGGCAGTCTTCAGAGCTTCCAGGTTGGCACAAAAACAACTGTATAATTATGTAATGTCTGGTGCTAGAGTTGGGATAAGATACAGCATGACCCATCCCCTTTTGGTTTTCCTTTGAGTACAATTGATTAAAACAGCCTAAAACAAAGTTGCTACTGATCGCACCCAAATGTACATCTCGCCGAAAGATCAAAGAGATGGCCCCGAATCCGAAGCTCTCTGCCTGCTGGCACTCCAACGGATAGGACGGCTGCTCTGCCGTCCCTGTCGACACCACCGTCACATCGTCCAAGCCGATCCCTTCCCCTCCTCGGAAAATCGGAGGTCTTAGGCACGCCCTCCATGCCCAAACACTGCGCACGGCCATTATGCAAAAAATTGCCTTGCCCTCTCTTCTGGCGGGTCGCATCGTTGTTAGCGCGCACTTCCTCAACTTGTTGGGCCATCTCCCCTGGTGTCCTACCCCTGGTGTCCTCAACGATTTCCTGCGGAGCCTTCAAGAGGTCGTCGTTTGCAGGGCGAATGAACCCACAGGTTTCGCATCGCCGTTGCTAAGCTTTGGCCTGACAGGTTTCGCATCGCCAGGAACATGATTCTGCCGAGCAGCCACGCGTGAAGTCGCCAAGGATGGCGATGCGGGAGACATTGGTCCTTGCAGGTCTGCCAAGCACGGCTCTTCTGGCAACTCTCCCGTCGTGTCTGGCTAGAAGGCTCGCGAACGGAACTCCCCCCCTTCCTAGCACAGGGAGCTTTGATTCAACTCGCAAGGGCTGTTGTATCCCCACAACTCTCAGGACTCCAGGGACTCCGAGTCCTCCTGGTCTGGGAAATGGCTTGGAGTGGGGAAGTGCGGCTTGCGACATGTAGACATGGGGGAAGTCTTTCAACTTCAGGGCAGGACTTCAGGAGGCTTCAGAAAATCGAAAATCTTGGCATCCCAGCTGGACAGGTGAAGTATTTGACTAAAAACATGTGACACAAGTATCTCTCCGTCCATCCCCCGTTTTGGAGGCCCAGTGCATGTTTACATGAAGAGGGCCACGATCTCCGTGCGACTGCTCTTGGCCAAGCGCTACGAATACTCGAATACTGAGCTGCGGGGATTGCAAGGAAGTCACTTTCGCATGCAAGGCTTGTCTAAGGTGCTGGCTGGTTCTTTCTACGCACAAGCAATGCAGGAATTCAGCCCATAATCATTTGGCAGTGGCTCGTGCGCAATTACGGCGTCTTAGCCTTGCTACCAAGCAACAAGATGGCCGCGATCTGACAGGAAGTTGCGTAGGTGAACTGCGCCGCAGAGTTCAAAGGATCGTAGGACCACCTCCGACACGGCCCGTGAAAAATGTCAAACTTGAAATCTCACAGAGAAATCCGGAAGATGCCATGCCATGTGGTCTGCGGTGAGATGTGGCCTGCCTCCTGTGCAGGCGCCAAATGACAGACCAGCAAGCCCAGCCAATGACATGTCGGCCATTCACAAACAACAGCCCTGCCTGCCGTTTTCATGCAAGTAGAACTCTGCGTAAGTCTCGTCCCCCACCCAGCGCAGTGTTTCGTCAATAAAGCCTTGGTCGGCAATGAGACTTGCACCAGTAAGCAGTACCAAAAATTGTCTCATTGGCCCACCAATGGCTTTGGACATGATGCATACGTTGAACCGGGCTTGCTGAAATGCCCTTGGGTGCCAGAGGGCCGAATGCGAGCAAAATAAACATTTTTGAGGACAGGCAACGTGGGTTCCGGCCACAGCCTACGACCTGAACCCGAAAATGCCCAAGAAAGGTGCGCCACATGCTTGCCGATGAAAACTCGCCACATGCACAAGCAAAGACCGACTGAGTTCTGCCGGCCTCGGTACAAAGGCAAGGCGCATTAGCAAAGCCCAGCACATGCTTTGCATGCCAATGTTACTTTCCGAGGGTGGTTTGCACACTTCCTGAGTGCATTGGACTCATTGGACCAAACAGGTCACATGCCTTTTCGAACTTTAGGCAGGCGGCGAACTATGCGGGCACCCTGGCCGCTGTCGCAGGACCTGGGAACCACATGCCCCCCCACCCCCCACTTTCAGGAAGGCTAGCTGACGAGGACTATCAAGGGGCTCTCACAAGGGGCTCTCAGAATCTTTCTGGGGCAGGGGTAGTCCGATTTTCTCTCTGGTGTCTTGGTGGTTGTGTGGTTTGTTGGCCGGAACTCCGCTTGGCCCTCGTTCCATGTGCTTCACAAAAAACACCAATGCCCAAATTCATAGAAAACGGCTGCACCAAGAACTCGGGAAGAGAACCCCACCTGCAGGCGGTGCATTCTGAACCCCGAAAGCATCCTGCAAGAAAAGAAATAGAAGGCAACTCAAGGTGGAGGGGGAAGGAACAGGATGTCGGTATTTGCCCGCCCTAGGCGGGTGAAGCTTCGTCCCCTTGCGCCAAAACCTGTTAAAAGCCCCGATCGATCCCGGCACATCGCAACTGGCTGCGGCACTCACATTCGATGGTGACCCAGTCCAGCGGGTCGTTCCTGAGGGCGTCATCTGACAGGGGCCATTTGTTGGCGGGTAAACAGAAACACAGTGCAAAAGCAACACTTAGTAGGCGCTTTAATTTTGTAAGAGCAAATCTCATGGTACTGACTCACTGGCTAGCACCTTCTCTCTCGACGCATGTTTACGGTCACTGCGTAAACAAGGCTCATACTGACTCATACACGATGAACATGCTGAAGTGGCCCACAGCTACATGTCGTTTGGCAAGTCAACGGGAAGAGCCCCACCAGTGCGAGACTTTCCCTCCCATGGAATTCTCTGCCCCCAGCGCGCTGGCGCCAACGCATCAAAAAAACAGCGAAGGATACCCAGAATCCCCCCCCTCCCCCCCCCCCAAAAAAAAAACTGACACGAGACAAGCATCGCAGCAACGCAACACGCCCCGCCCTAAACATGGGGCCATTTGCTGGTCAAAACCTATACCGAACATGAATGGTCATCACTGTTTATACCGAATTATGCCAAAGTGACTCTCGAATATTCGCATCAATACATTGATGACCATGCCAATACACCTCCCTACAGCCCCATGGAGCTTATACTTTCCACACCATCAAGAAAAACCGGTCTCGAACAAAATCCAATTACATACTGGAACGCTGTTCAAACGTTACTTGAACGCAATTGAACGTAAATTGAACGCAACCCGGGCGCGAAAACATAAACAGAGTCCAGAGTGCGGTGAGTACTCAAGTGTGCACACAAAGCATTTAGTACTAGAACGGCTTTGAACAGGTTTTTTCACACATGTTTTTGCCAGACAGTTTATCACTCTGATAGGCGCAGGTCCTCTCGTGCCACAAGAAGCGAAACGATCCCCTTTTGTGGCGGACTCGGGCCTTGCCAAACATGCAACGTAAGGAAACATCATCCCCATGCGAGAGGCAGCCGCAGAAGCACAAGACAACCCGAGACATGCTGAACTAAGATGCTCTGGCACTGCTGGAAAGTGAACAAGCCAGAATGGCAATGTGTGCAAGTGGAACAAACATGACTCACTTGCATTGCTGAGCTTGCATAAACCCTCGTGTCACGAAATAGGAAATGCCACGTCCCTGGGATCACACCAAGCACCATGGAAACCAACCGATGAAAGATGCTCCTTGGTCTTCAGCCTTTCCCGGCTTCCTGTCGCCCAGGCGTCAACTCGAGGAAGTTCCCGTACTCCCCGCGGACTCGGAACCGCAGGTAGCCCCCATAAGCCACTGCCAGCTCCTAGCAATGGAGAAGCAGCACACTATGAGGGCCTAGATGATTAGAAAGAGGTCGGGCACTTGAAAACTAAGCCAAGCTACCATGGGAGCAACATATTTTCGGGCTAAGCGAAAACTAAACTGCAAGACCGGGTATCTCTGACTGAACAAGCCGCACAGAACGTCATTCAGTTCTAGTAATGGTCCGCGCGAGGTAGCGCCCAAACATGATCTTGAATTGTCAAAATCGTATGCGCCCACATTCAGACACTAGTAGGCGGCACAAAACGAAAGAGGGACGGTTGAGAAGCGCGTGCTGCCGTGATGGCATAAAACTGCAACGCCGGAATTGATCAGGGCACTCTCCAACACTGAGAAGAAAACTGACAGTCCTAGTTCAATATGTTTTGCCAAAATGGGGCCGGACAGGAAAGGACCAAATGGAGCAGAAAGGTCTAAAAGCCCACGGTAATGGGCCTAGAATGAGCCCCAACAAATGGTGTGCTACGCCTAGTCACCTTGTTCACCTTGGGGCTCCTTGAAACTAAACATGTTCTCCAAGCGGCATTTTGCGTTGCGCGTCTGGAGATGGTGGCAATTGCTACAAAGTTAAACTTAAAGAATAACAACAAAGAATAACACACTTACGCACACGTTCAGCTACAGCCCACATCCCTGGGAGGGTCACTTGCATTCCCTGGCTTCCAAGGGGAGTGAAGCGCCCAATGCACTTCGCTGAAGTATGGGCAGTTGGGAAAAGCACAAGTTTGGAGCTGGGGGGTTAGCCCATTTACAAGCTGGTCAGAAAAGGCATGGTAGCCCCCCTTCTAAACTACGAATATGATGGGGGTAGCCCCGCCCCCTTCACCAACATGATGGGTTTACTCAAAAGGATTGCGAGTTGCCCACCTCCCCACGCGACATGATGGAGTTACATACAAAAAGCAATATGAAACAACCCCCTTCCTATGAACCATGCATGTGATTTGCTCACATGTAAACACCTTGGGGGTAGCCCCCCTCCTGATAACCACGAATATGTATGACTGGGTCGGTGGGTGTCACTTCTTGTTGATTTCTTAGAAGAGGCTTTGCCATCCGAACCCTGAAGCTACAATCCCTGTGCATCCAAAGATGCAAAATCCGTGCAGCTTTCTGTTCTTCCAACCCCGGGCCGCTGGCTTGCAGTGAAAAGCCGAATCTGGGGCCCCATGCAAGCGAATGTGCGTGCAAGAGCCATTCATATTTCTTCCCTTCAAACCGCTGAGCTGACACGAGAGCGACGAATTGATTGAGATGCAGACCGGTATCGGAGCTTGACGACAGGTGCACAGCACGCAACAGTCAAAACCCAATGTTCACCTATTGGTGTCAACAAGATACGGTGCTTGTGGTGTCCTTTTAAAGGGGAGAAAATTGGGGTGGTAGCCTCAAAAACAGACACCCATATGGCTGCTTTCAGGCAACTGTGTCTTTTCCACCAGCACCATGATTACCACCCTTCCGGTCCTTGCAAACTTAATTCCGCGAAATCCACAAAACAGTCCTTCTGGCAAATCCACCAATCCACCCCATCCAACAAAACACTCCGCCATCCATTTTCGGCTAACCAACCCTTTTCTCGGCCCGCCTTTCCTGGGCTCAAAAAAAAAGAACGTCCAGACCGTTTGGAAGCGAAGGCGCGCGCGCGCAATCGCGCAATCGCGCAATCGCGCAATCGCGCGCGCATCGAAGTCGCGCTGCGGCCCCCGGCTCCTTCTTGCAGAAGCCCTGGGAGGCCTCGAAGTACCACTTCGCCAGGTCAATGCCCGTGGCGAAGTCCAGGCTCTGGACCTCATCCACGCCTCGGATCGGATCGAACCGTCGGATGAGAGGCAAAGGGAATTCGAACGATTCGGAGAAGTCGCCGGAGCGGAATGAGCAATCGGAGTTCCAGGGAACCCGGGCAAAAAAAGCGATCCCAAAATCGGCCCCTTTCAAGACATGCCTTTTTGGAGGACGAAACAAGGTCAGGGGTTCATGAGCAGTTTGCTTTGTCTGCAAATGGGGGCGAGCTCGCTCTCGAGCAAGCCCCTGCAAACTGAACCTCACGGCCAAAGAGCCGGAGATGTAGTTGCTAAGTCCGCCCCAGGAGTGCGACATGTGTCGAAGCCCTTGGGATGGCACGCCTCAGTCGATGCGAATGCGCTCGAGCCCGGCTGTGGCAAGGGCTTGAAATTGGGCGCTTTCAACATGAAGGCTGCTATTGCAGATGGGTCGATCTTAGCTTGCAGGTTGCCAGAAGGCCTTTGCCGCTGGGTTTGACGCAGCCCTGCATTTCCGCGGGGCCCGGCCAACGGTTCACTTCTGGCGCTATGTTCCATCACACGCCCAATTTTAGATACAAGCGCGCCAAGCTTGCAAATGAATCTCCCGGCGAGTGTGCTGCCTCGTTTTGCAAGCACCACTTGCTGGCTGCACTCCGGAAACACTTGGGCCGTCCAAGATTCCTTTTACAACCTTGTCCCATGAATTTTACAGTAATAGGGAATCACCGCCTGAGGAGTGCTTGGTGGACATGAAGCCCGACCTACATGATATCCACCAAAGGGTCCCCTCCCTGGGGTTCCAAAGGCGGTTTATTTTGCATGTTTTCTGTGAAAGGCGGTTTTTTGCCAGGAGTAGTTTTGCCCAAGCTCAGCTGATATCATTGAACAATTCGGGCGCCGCACGTGCTCAGGACCAAAGTGTGCAAAGACTTGACCTCCGTTCCCACAAAACAAGCGGAGGGATTACCAAAGGACAGGCTGAAACCCATAGATTCACCAGTGTCAAAATTCACGGCAGAAAACGTGCTTTCACGCTGGAAAACAGGCTTTCACGCCAATTTCACGGCATTTTCACGGTGATTTCACGCTACTTTTGCGTACATCACGGACCGCTATGTTCACACCAAAATTGTTGTGCCAAGACATGTTGGGGGGGAACAGGCTTTGTAGAATCTAAACGCGGCAACAGTATGAATAATCCATCAAATACCACGCCATGGCTCATTGCAGGCGCGCTTTAGCTGCAAAAAACAGGCGAGGTGCAAAGGACGTTTAAAAAACAGTCGTGGATTTCCAGGGCCCTATTAAACTCATACCCAGCGTGCCAGGCTGACATGGGAGTGCTGCTGAGTTGCCATCCACCACCTCCAGCTGCCCCGACATGGTCCAGCCGTCCGCACTGTTGGCCTCAGCCCGATGCCAAGGCACCGGGGTGACCTCGCTCACTCCACCGATAAGTCAATAAGCCCTTCTGGTTGGCATTTGAAAGGGAAACCAAAAGGAAGACAACCATTCTAAGAGACCCACTATTCGAGCTTAACAAGGCGCAAACATGGAATATCTCCAGAGGCTTTGTTTTGAGGGGCGCCTTCGTTTTACACTGTTTTAGCCCTATTCCACCAAAATACATGTCCTTGAGGCGGAGCATTTTGTGGATCCCTCATTTTGAAAAACCCCTATGTGGCGTATTCTGGCAGGCTGGACTTTGGGGAAGACCCTGCCCCTGCAGAGGCAAAGGCGCCAGGCTGAAATCGGAGCCCGAGATCTGGCCATCGGGATTGGTCAGGACCACCAGGCCGGGCTCGCTGCGAACCATGGCACGCTCAGTGCCCACCGGGGCGTCCACGGCGTAGGTGAACCTGAGGGATGAAGAAATTGGTGCACACTACTTTTTCATATCGGCTGTGGCTCAAAGACGTGTACCAAAATCTCGCCTTGGTCAATGGAACCAAAGACTAAAATGTTGCGTGACCCTACCTTTTCTAATTTTGAGCCACACCCATATCCCATACAAGGCCATGAAACAACACCTGAGGCTTTCCTTCAAAAGAGTCCAAGACTTCGTGGAGAGAAAGGAAGTGCCCCCAAAAAAACTGCACGGGCTCCGCAAAGTCCATAAAGGAGAGGTCTCCCACATGTACGGAACTGTCATCCCGAGCTAAAACTGCTTGTGTTCGCCTCATGGCTCCCAGCCCCAGGGAACTTCACTTGCAAAGGGGACATGGGGCCGTAGGTCAGGGCAAGGAACTTGGGTGCCGCAGGGTGGTTTTGGGCAAACATTTGTCTCGGCACCGCCAGATGAACACAACCTGCGTTTGATGCTTTTCCGTGAGCCGCTCCTTTTTCTGTTGGGCCAACTTGACAAGGGCGGCAGGCTGCACCGCTGAAGCTGCGGGAAGACATCGGGCACGGCAACGCATGTCGCCTGTATGTGGCTCTCGTGGTGGGAAACGCTCAGTCTCAGTTTCAACAAATGGGCAGCCCAGCCAAACACATGCCATAAGGTGGATCAGGAATCCGCACATGTACGACCAGGTACTGGACCCCAGCTTACGCTACAGTAGTAAGCGTACTACAGCATCGTCGGAAGCATTGCCTAAGGCTCGGCAAAAACAAGACAATGTGTGGGCGCCCCTCCCTCCCCACAAGGCGCTTT